AATCCCTCCCCCCCCCCTCCCCGTCCTCTGAGTTCTCTGTACCATCTTCAGATGATACATTCAACCTGAATACCTATATATACTAAATCGTTGATATTTCTGTAAAAATTGAAAATACCATTTGAATGACGTATATTCATCGATATCAAATAGCTTGAAGAATCCATTGGATCTTATGGAAGAGGCTGGCTTACAGTGAGATATCTATATGCGTATGTAGATAACGAACGAATTTTAATCTCCTGCCAAGGGTGTTTTTTTTTGTCATACTCAAGACTCCCCGTGACACTTTTCCTATTACTCGAGTAAAAAATTGATTGGCTATCGATTCACGTTGAGATCTGATCCGACGTTAAGGGACTGTCACAGCATCCCTAAGGTCGAGTTGAGAAAAAAAAATTATTTTCGTAGTCACTGCATTTGATTATTCTCAAGGGTGATTGCGAAAAATTTTTATTGATTTTTTTTTTTTCCTAACCTTAGGGCTTTACCAGGTATCAGACAATTCAGGGTTCGTTTTGCTATGGGCTACTGTGTATGCATGTACTTGATACACTATTCTCGTTCCTCTTGACCCCGACGAAAATACAGGTACACAATCTGATAATGGGTTAGTTGTGTAGCCCTGGGTACATTTCCACGTATGCTCGAGCGAATCCACCTGATTCGCTGATAACGCTACGCTCGCTTAATCAATCATGGTTTCTGGTCTGAGCGCGATCCCTTCTAGTCACGTGTTGCGGCCGAGTACGTACAGCCTTGGTAAGAGCTACTGGGTAATACCCAATACCCGGCAGGTAACGGACTCCTTGGTATTTTGCTGCAGACACGTCAGCTCCTTTTCTCCACGTGTTTACCACGTGATACGTCAAATTCAGATGAATACACGTGTTTACAGTCGCACAGGATCACAGGCAGAATCCTATCTGACGTCATGTACCTAAACGCATTGTAACTGGCTCACTTCATTTTTTTCTTTTATTTTATACAATGAGGTGCCAACTTCACACCGGTGCATCCTTCAGATTGTTGATATTGAATTTGAATATACTGTAAGACAGCATTTGCGAGTATACCTATAATAGAAGTTCATTACGTTGATAAGTTAGAGTGGGATATATATATCGATAAGTAATATATATATATATATATATTGAGTCTTTGAACGCGTCTAAGATTGCCGCCTGAAAATCTTGAAACTTTCTCATTGTTACCAACAGTGTAAACTTGAAGTTTCCAGTTGAAATTTTGGTATATAGTTTGCACTAACTAAATATATATATATATATATATATATACGTGTAGGTATCTTAGGGTACTGGGACAGCTCGATACATCAGACAGGTTTTGCAGTAAATCAAGACGATGGGAACAAGTCTGAGGTAGAAACACGCGCTGGTAGGTGATGGCCGACGTAACGACTTATCGTTAGTTTCGAAGTACGAAGCTGCGTCGCGACGCCCGTTTATACCCAGAGACATTACATCGTAGAGTCGAGGTATCTACGCGTCGAGAGGGATTTATAACCCGTTTCCAGTTTCTGGCGCGACATCCGAGAATTTCACGGGACGAACTTGAAATCTCCGATTAATTGGAAAGTAAATCACTCTTACAACCCGATACCATTGAGTATCATTGATAAATATGTATTTTCTCTGTTCCTTTCGTAAAACGTTATTTGCATTGCACGCAGCTCTTTAAGATCTTTTTTTTTTTTTTCACATTTTGTCAAACCACGTATATCACTTTGAATCGGGAAACGCTTTTTTTGAAAAAGCCTATAATATTTTTTAGTTTCGATAAATTTTTTTTTTTTTTTTTTTTTTTTTTTTTCATCTCCATGAGATTTTGTTGGCGTATGAGTGAAATGGCGAAATGCCTTTGCATTGTCGGAGATGCGTGTTCCGGAGAGTTTCTACATATAAATAATGGACGAGTTGAACCAATAATCCGCGCCACGTTCAAATACGATGCTTCGCGTCGGATAGCTGCCGCACGTAAGCTCCAGGTATTAACGGGTTAGCGGTTTAATTTACGAGATCTCTCGGCTGACTTCTTGGTTCAAGGTATTTTATAGCGAAGGACCAGTTTGCAGATCCTCGTTTCACTTTTGACACTGCATTTTCGTGGGGACCTTGTCACTCGTCCGTGTCTCTCCTGTACTCTACATATGGGTCATGACCATATATATATATATATACGTATAGCTAGGTACCTTATTTAGTAATGCAGCTGCACCAAGTGCAGCCCATGTATGTAAGCTATAATGCTCGGGTTGATATGCACCTGGTAGCAGAGGGTGTTTCACGTCTGACACAGCGGTGGCTGTCCAATAACGAGACAATGGCTCTCTTAATGAGAATTTCGTGTAACAATGAGGACAATTTAAAAGGGTAGTTTGTAATGCTCCGGGTAAACATTATTACAGCGTGACTGGTTCGCGGAAAGAGAGAAGGAGAATGATGAGAATAGGGAATGGTGGGGGTGTGACGTCAGTGGGGTATAATTGTGAGAGAGACAGAGAGTTGGGATTGTTATTGGGTGAAGAGGGATGATAATGTCAGGGGATGAATAGATAACGGGTGAGTGGCCTAGCTACGGAGAGTTTGTAAGATCATCCCCTAAAGTTTGAGCTTCGATAAGTGAGTCTTCCCAGTTAAACGTTTAAATAATGAGAGGTCCCTGGCAAGCAGGTAGAAGGTTGTCGAGGCGTCGTAGAGAATTGAAGCTAATTAGCAGAAGCTGTTAGGCTAATTATAACGAGCGCAGGGGGATCGAATTTAGGGGTAACGCTGAGCTGGTACAGTTTAAGGGATGAAAATAAGGATTTCCTAGAGAAACCCTTCCGCCTCTCGTTAACCTTTCCCCATTGACTGAGCTCGCCTTTTCACCTGTTTCAGCTGGGATGCCGACCATGGAACCTAAGCCTGGTCAGCGTGATCATCCTGGCCTTCTCGAACATGCTGCTCACCTTCTTCCTGCTGCAGTCGGAGAACTGCCGTTCCGGGGACGTGAGTCATCCGCTGGAGGCCAATCTGTTCACGGAATGGAACCTGGGGTCGTTTGCCCAGGATGTGCCAACGTCGCGGCCTTGTTCCGTTCGGAGCTACCAGACGGTTCCTGACGAAGAGGACACCCTGATGATCGACATCCGTCGCGGAAGATGGGACGCACGTCGGCTCTTCAAGACCTTTGACGCTGTGCTGACTGGATCGGGATTCTCAAGCCTGTCGGAGTCTCATCTGGTCTCTCTGGCCACTCAGAGCTCAGTGGAGAAGCTGCACTCGATCGTCCAGGTCGCTCATCATTGGACTGGACCAATATCGGTCGCTCTTTATGCCGCCGGCGACGAGGAGTTTGACGTGCTCCAGAAGTACCTGGTCTACCTGAGGAAGTGCTATCCTCCGATCAGGGACCGGGTACTGTTCTCTTTGCTGATGCCCAAGGACAGGATGCCAACTAAACAGCCGAGGAGGTACGAGCTACCGGAGGACGTTGATTGCGTTAAACCGGAAGCCACGCTTCAGCAGCTCGTCTCGCGTATATCCAGTCAGCAAACCGCCTGGCGCGTTCAGAATACCTATCCGCAGAATCATCTGCGCAATCTCGCCAGGAAGAACTGTCAGACTGACTATGTATTCTTGACGGATGTTGACATCGTACCGAGCTTCAATTTGACTCAAGGGCTCAATGAATTTCTTAAAAGTGCCAATTGCGACAAGTGCGCTTACGTTATACCCACCTATGAGCTGGATACGCGTGTTCGATTTCCGTATAATAAATCTGAACTGGTGAGAATCGCCGAGAAGGGACTTGCCAGACCGTTTCATCAGAAGGTCTTCATTCACAACCAGTTCGCCACCAACTTCACAAGGTCAGTATTCAGCTGGAGTATTTTCATTAAAAGAAAAAGGAAAAAGGAAAAATGTACGTTACTCAGTGTACGTCGATTAATAAGTGTCTAGGCAGTACCCGACAATAGAAAAAGAGATGATTAGCTTGGAACAGAACCCTTTTTCAATGTTCATCATGCTATTTATTTATTTCAGATGGGTTCAAGACGTCAAGCCAGGTAACAAGGGTTACGCGTACGTAAACAAAGGCAAGGTCTACGTTTGTCACGATGTGACGAACTTTGAATTCCTGTACGAGCCTTTCTACGTGGCAAAGGACATCGCTCCGAGTCACGATGAGAGATTCATGGGTTACGGTTACACGAGAAACACCCAGGTAAGCAAACACTGATAATGTAATCTGAATAGTGTCGATCAAGTATTCCAATTGGTTGGTATATGGATTGTGTAGTGGGAGCCTAACCTAACCTCATTCCTAATCCATTACGTAGGATCAATTGACATCAGCTGGGAATTCGTCGCCGATTGATATCAAGGAAAAAGGCACACATTGAAGAAGAACACAGTACCTGGGAATATCGTAGAAAGATTGAAAGCATGCGTGGCCTCGTATAAACTTTAGGTCATTATGGTCACTACGTTCTCCCTATACCTTACTTATACTTTGGGAATACTCCCCCTTTTCCTCCAAGTAGTCAGGAAACTTTACGGACGTATGATTGATTAAGGATAAGTAAACATCGATATCAGGACTATCTGGCAGCTGTACAATCAATTCATTCCATTATGCATGGACAAACATTCCCATAGCCAATATCCACCGCTGGATAACGCTGTCGTAATATTTGACAATGTGAAATGAGTTGTTCGTGGCAGAGACAGAGACAGAGATTGAGGTTAGGGTAGTAGCGAGGGGCACGATTATATAATAGCAGGTAGAGAAAGACAGTGACAAAGAGACCCAAGGATAGGCTCGATAATGGTGATCGTCGTTAACTCGTCGTTAATATTTTGATACCTTCAAATTGCAAGGCACATTAATCGAATTACATATTATCATTTTCAAACGTTATCACACGATGGAGGGCAGTTTCGCGAAACAAGCATTATTCAATTTAAACATGATTCACAGTAGTCGTACACCCCCCTCCCAGTCGAATCCACACCCCATTGCGTCTGCAGGGAGCATTTTGCAGTGTGTCAGCAATCCGTGGAATTGCGCAATTTCACCTTTGCACCTTTCCATTGCATTACAGACATTCTTTGTCGCACGACGTTAGTGACTTTGGTTTTACGTTTTTTTTGGACTTTAAGGTAAATTCATCGGCAGGAACGCTTTATTATTTAGTGCCGGGTATATTATAATTTGACGTATGCGAACAAGTGAATTTGTCAGTAACTCATCTTGCAACAGTCCATTGACATTGACTAACGGTTAGATCGGGTTAGAATGTCAAGTATTCTATTGGTGCCCGATGCTTCCTGCTCGAGCATTTTATTGGCAGCTATATCGGAAGTCACTGCTCGAGCCAGTAGAGGATGTCATCCTCATCCCTTTCGGGTTGTGAAATAACGAAATTCCATCGCCATGAAAAATCCAGGGGACGGCATCCCATCTAGTATTCGTAAAACGAACTATGCCCGTCGCACCCGTCAGCAATAAAACGACTGTAAATCTAGTTGGGGGCGCGCGCGCGTCCCCTCTTTTTCGTATTACGTATAGACCAACTGCGAAACATCACCAACTACCAAATCCCACCGTCAGACCATTTTACTAGCACCGTTGGGCGACGTTGAATGGATATTGGGCGATAGCTAACGTACCTTTGGCTGTGTCACGTGTTATATATATATATCCGTAGCGACTTTCAATAATATGTAGATATATGTATAGCACGTAGTGAGTGGGTGTCTGTAAGCGTATTCGACTATTATATAACCTATATATATCTCTCTAACAGTATCTCAACTCTGACTAGGGGATGCGGATGAGAATGGATATCGTTCCTATTCTCAATACCTTTGGCGATGGGGTAGGGTGCAGGTCCTCTTGCGAATCCTCAGGATTTTCTTGAAGGGGTTCAAGTGCCGCCACCCTCTTTATTTATGAGATCGGGAAGCTGGACGACCGTGTGACTTTCCGTTTTACGGGGTTGTTCCTCGGAGAGGAGTGGAGCATACTGATTTTTTATAGCGTGTTAAATTCTATGGCTCGAGGGAGATTTTGAAATGCGATCGATCGCTAACGGAGTGCACGATAGATTTTTGAAAGTCTAATGAAAATTTTGTAAAATCTCCTTTATTGTCAAAACATTCGAAATTATCGATGAATTCAATGACGCGTGATTTTTTAGCAAGCCGGCTAATCCTGTTTGTATTCGTCGAACCGATTGATCTCGTTGATCGTTATCTAATCGCGCGGATGAAAATTCGACTTTACGAGTTAGCCGCGTTTATTCATTTGCGCTCGTTCGAGTCGGTCAATCGTTTCTCGAGGTAGTTTTTCAGTTGTCAGTTCATTAGCTTTCTATGGCTGGGAACGGTATACGAATGCGTAATGAGAGTCTTTTCATTTAATTGAACTCGAAAACGTAAAAAGAGACCAGTTCTTTTTATATCGTCAATTATTCCTATTGGGCTCCTGCTGGTGGTCTGTTACAACCCCTATTTTACTTTTATTGAAAATTCAACCTGATTATCATATATATATATATTGAAGGAAAGATCAAATGAATTTGATTGAGCGACCGAATAGCGAAAGTGAATTGTGATATAAATATGTTTGATATGATAAAAAAATTCGATATAAGAATTTTAAGGGTGGAACCGTTTTTAGGTGTATTATCAATTTTATCGTTCCGTTTACTAATAGCTTTGACAGCTTATCAAAAACATACCCTTGGGTAATTTGGCATAGGAAGTTATAAAATGGTGAAAAAAAATTTTATCACGCACAGTGAACGTATCTTTTGATCAATTTTAATCTCCGTAAATATTTCAAAGGATTCTCGATAAAGACTCAGTCAGCCAGGATTCAGCGACGTCCTGATGCATCCCCCCCATTATCCCTGATAGAAACGTCGAGTAGCCAAAGTCGATGTGAACGATGCTCCCTGACACTCTGGCAACCAGACAGTAATCGGCTCAAGATCATAATCCTAGTTAATTTCTCTCACGGTTCTACGCGTAAAAGCTCGAGCTGGTTAGACTAGCAGGGATTTTGTTAGATAACCAGATAACTGTGTCCTCCTTCATCCAGACGGATAAGTACACAGGGAGATAGAGATAGAGATAGAGCTAAGTGCCTGAACGTATACAGTGAAGCGAAACGCTTCGATTCTGTAATCAGGCAAGACTCGAATAGCTGAAGGAATGTGATAACCAGGAGAATTTACATTATCTTCCACGTTAATGGAAGGCTCTTGCGTACTTTTGCATCAAAAAGGTCGACTAGGCGTTGAAACGTTTTTCAAAAATTGAGGTGCTACAGCTGGAGCTGGTATCTCAATTTCTTAAAAATGTTTCAAGAGTCGGCTTTTTTAATATATCTTAAAAAGTTGTATAGTTCCCGGCCTTGTTTTAAGGATTGCTTTGGAAACCAGCAATGAGGACCAGAAAACCTCACTACACATCAGTACACGTTCACTATCACGTTCAGTTCAGGTACGAAGGTATACGCAAAATCGAGGGAGGCGATGATCACAAAATCCTACTTCCGGCTTCGTCGTTCGAGATTTAGCGCTATGATTTTGGTATCGCCTGAAATCATAGCGTTGAGCGTCTGCCTATTAATCTCTGAAAACACTGGCACCTTAATATCTTGGAAACTAGAATTTATGGCTGCTGGGCTGAGATAGGAGATACGAATGTAGAGCGAGTAAAAAGAGACAGGGAACCAAAGTACCAGGACCAAGGGGTGGAAGCGGGGAAAGGAGATGGAATGATTCACCCCTCTTATCGAAATGGGTGCCAAGACAAGTATTACGGGAACACACTTTGTTCGCCTAGGATTTAAAGGGACGTGCGATCGCATAAAATTCAATTACGAATCCAGACCGAGTCGAGTCTTTGCTATTAGCGTGGCTAGTTAGTTTTGAGAGACCGAGAGCGGAGGAAACGTTTTCTCAAAAATATCTCTCAGGTTCGTGTAATTCTATCCTGGACTATCTGAGATGATAATAATTTTCGATAAATTAAATTAATTGGTATTCTTATTCATTCCAGCTGTTTAATTGAATGATAACGCAATTATCGAAGCAAACCTATATGCCCGCTGTCAGGACACATACGGTGTACAGCCATGTTAATACACACTACGTTTCCATGCTCGATGCCGAAGCGTGAAATTAACTTGAACACATTTCCCACAGGTACACGCGTTGTGAAATGTTCGTCCTCTCTCTCTCTCTCTCACACGCACAAGCGTACTGGAATTGTCCAATTTCATTTAGGAGTAAGCCACACTATCCTGTACGCAACTGATCCTTCATACTGTGGAGATAGACTGACCCTTGCTCGATTCTCTGGAAACCATTTGAAAATGGACTCTGTGGTCTTTAGCTATAACAACACTGACCCGCTATCTTCTATTTCCATTGATTAATTGGGTACCGACACCTCCGTACTATATCCAGGTATGCCTGATATATAGAAATAGTAATTGAATTAATTATGAAAAGTTAATAATTAATTTTTCTCAAAACATCTATTCCGAAACTAGGTCCCAGACACGCTGCTTGTTAACAGACACTATTTCGATACTGGGTTAATACCTATTTGATGTGACGAACCGAGGAGCTGAACTGGTTCTATAAAAGGGACAGCCTGGTCGCTGATGTGGTTAATCAAGAGATTTGCATAGAGCAAAAGGATCTTGGCGACGTTAGGTTGGGATTTCCGGGAGTATAATCCTGGGAGACGTCTTGCCAGGGACAATGAAGAGACTAGTATGCAAGTCCGGGAAAGCCGTTACGCGCGATTATCCTTGAAGACGTTGAGAACAATAAGCCCTGGGACTCGTCTTCCGGTACTGTCTGCTAGACTGTCGTTTCCGGAAACCGGCTGGCGTCTCGTCTCGTTCCATTGCGTTTCCTGTCTACGTGTTTTCGGTCTTGTCGTAGGAAATAGTAATTCGCGCCCGGGATTACATTTATTATCAGTTTCGAGCTCTGTCGCTTGGAGCTGCCTTGATTATATCTGTTGGGTAGTTTATTGTAGGAGTTATGTGATTAGTATCTATAGTGTTGTACTTATCTGTTGCACCAGGTGTACGAGATGTACGTTGCTGGTTATCAGTTCAAAGTGTTGTCGCCCATCTTCACTGGTCACTGGGGCCTACAGACCAAGAAGGGAAGACCCGCATGGCGAGAGAAGCAGAACAACTTCAATAGGAAACACTTTGACGTATTCAAGAAGGAAGTCTTTGCTAGATACATGAGGGATCCGCTCAAGATGGTTAAGAAGAGTCGGTAGGCTCTGTGAAGATCGGTCAGGACCAATAACCAACGAGAGATCAGATTGGTCTTGTAAAGTCAAGAAAAACATAGCAAGGATCTTCTTTGGTAGCGGGATAAAGCTGAGCTAGAATATTAAACTAGACTTAGCGAAATGCCGGATGAGAGCCAGACGCATCGGTTGCGTCGGGATACATAAAGGAACTCTATGTAAAACAGGAAAATAGGTCCGACTAGCAGGAACGGAACGAAGAGGTATGATGGAGGGGCCTGGGACATTCGAAGTTATCAAGAAAATCGCTGGGAGACGGAGTACGGTCGTTTATACTAGACTGTATAAAGTGCTGGATGTCCCTTGCAACGCGGCTGAACGATGTAGTAACGTACGGATCTATGGGGTAGCGCAAGTCGAGCAAAGTCCTATGTGCTTTAGAGAGAAATACCCTTTTACGTTTAACTGTTATTGCGTGCGAGCCGGAATGGCTGACAGGATCTTTGGTTATTTGAAATCGAGTTAGGTAATAGAATTTGATAAAGTGTCTGCGAGAAAGTGGGATAGAGTAACGTAAGGATAATTTATGTTTCAGGCGCAATATATTGTCTACGGGTACGTTAAACGTGTGTAATACGGTGTCGCGTGTACGTACGGTGAATTTTAATCGAAACGATAAATTTTGCGGTTGGGAAATTTTAATGGTGTCGGTCTTGAAGCTTGTCCTAGGTACTTGTTTTCTTTTTCAATTTATTTTTTTATCTACGATCTCATGTACTTTAAGACTCCCACTTGGTCACTCGTCGAATGTGGAAGTGGGATTGGAACCGCCGTGGGAGACTACGGTTTTTTTTTTTTTTTTACGAAGCCCGAAAGCATCCTTCTAACGGTATTTAGTATTACTTTATACGTGGTCAAGAAGAGTTCTAATTGTGCGCATGTACGTCTGTGAAATCCCACGTGGTGTCCTCCGACTGGAATTACTTGTTAAATGTGCTCAAGAATCCCGTACGTATCATTGTAGTACTAAGCAATATAGTAGAACACAGAATTATTGATTAAGTAGAAAACTTTTGTATAGTAGTTAATTTTTACCTCAACACTTGTAAACTCGATTTAGGATCTTATTGATTCGTGATATTTGTAATCTAAGTAATGAAAGGATTTATCGATCGTCTGACAATCTAGTCGTGAATTATTAACGAGTTCACATTGTGTGTAACTTTTTATGGTTTGCCATTGCGAATAAACAGTGCCAACAATAATTCGTAATGCTATTTCATAAATTAACAGATGATTTCGTCTCTTTGAAGTTTCATGATTGAAAATGGCTCGGGTGAGCTCATTGTACATTTAAATGAGCGATTCATAATTGAAATTTTATATACGTAAATAGATTTCACTGTATGCTAATATAAATCAAATGAAAATTTAATTACTAGTCCATCATGATGATTTACATGCGATTTCTCTTCGCACGGTGTCGTTATTTGTATGCACCCAAACTATCATTGCTCACTTCACTTATGGTATTACTGCTCAATGAATGGACAAAATAATATTACAGAAACCATGGCGAAAGACTTATAGCTTGAGAAAAAGAGTGAGAAAAAAATAAAATACAGAGTAAATAATACTTTTGTTCTGGTATTGCTGGGCAGGTGCTGCCTCCGACAAATTTTTTAACGTTTACTACCTGTAATTGTTATTCACCATAATTTCTGGTGTCTAGCTGTTCCTTGTCGTAGTTCCTGGTTTCTGTAATTTATTTGACCCACCGATTCTCAATTTTGTTATACCAATAATTCGTGATAACTTTTGTAGTAAAGGGTTGAAGGAACGGTTTGATATATTGAAGAATATAATGTAATACCTTGAAAATTTAATTATAATTTCAAAAGCCTGTTCTCGACCTTAGCCAGATTTTCCTAGATGCTCTTGTACTAATTCTCTTGTGTGTACGCACCCTATTGGGGAAGTAGTGCGTAAGGCCGATTTGTCAGAGGGAGGGTTGATTTATGATACTAGCCTAATCCTTAAAATGTCAAGGCAATCCGTCTGATTAATAATAGACTGTCGTATTACGTGCTCCATCAGATCTTAGTAATAGGGTACAGCTTTACCTCGCGAAGGTGAGACTCTATGGAAACTTGAATAATGCAATTAATATATTTTCGTTTTTTTTTTCATCGTCCATTTATTCAAACCTTGATCAACTCTAGTGTACAGTTTTTATTATCAATTATCGAATTTTTGTACTTAAGCAAACTTTGTACAAATGACAAAATATTTTCAAAATTACTTTCATTCTTTAATCTAGCTTTCATCATTATCTTGTTTCTTGGTCTTCTTTCATGCCAATGTAAAGTGGCACTAGCAAGGATATTCTCTCTTGTCTACGTTACTCCAGAATCTCCATGAACCTGAGTATGTACTTTCTGGCTGGACAGTTCGTTTAAAAACGGTTTAATTTCCTGCCGGTAGGCGCGCTGAAGTGAGGTTGTTGTTTTGCAGTAGAAAGACATTGTAAATAAGTCTTGATTATATATATGTATATATGTCTATGCAAGAGTCATGTAGGTACTAAAAGTACCTAGTACACAGGACCAGGCTACGCCCACCTAGCAAAGTACCCGAGTACCTAGCTAAACTATTATTAAATTCTAGGTTGGTAAATTAAAGTTTCATTTATTCCCCCCTTTTCTTCACTTCTGCATTAACCCTCAACGTCGGCCTGACTCTTCCAGTCGGTTTACATCCTATTTAATCCTTGTCAGTTTATTTATTATACTCACTTTTGGTCTTTGCTCAATTTTTCCAACAGGTCCCTGCTTCAGGATCGGCAAAGGAAATTACTTTGGTTGGCAGCATGGGAATATAGGATTTTGGATCAAGTTTGCAAAATTCTTCATTAACTTTGCATTGGAAGTCCTGTCGCGAATATCTGACGCCCCCAAGAGACTCCTTTTGGCAATGTATACCTGCATAGTTGGGTAAGAATGCAATTTCTTTCTATCGTCCTTGTTTGCTACCTCTGGATCCTTTTTGAAGAACTCGACGATACCTTGTGGAATTATTTTGGAAATTCTTGGATTCCCTATTTTTTTTATTATACGACAGTGTAAATGTACAAACAAGTAGCACGTGGTGACAACGTAGAGCAATTTTTGCTGTTAGGAGTTGAATTTATGAATTTTTCAATTTTTTTAAATCTTGCTCTTTTGAAATTGTGACTTTTCTAATAATCTCGCCTTTTTTATTCTTCGAGTCAGACTCTCGAGTCCTTTGACTGTTGCGTCGGATTCCTTTTCATGTGGACGACACTTTAGCCTGTCCATGTTAACGGTGCTCGTACACCTTTAATATTAATCTAGGGAGTGCTCTTTTGAACCGCACTATAATAGGCTTTGTCTGAAGCTGTGTACCCGCGGCGTCGGGACGCTCTTGTGCGTATACGAGCGTCGTTGCGACGGGGTTTTAAACGGACGATGAAATAAGGGTAGTCAATGTGTGCTCTATTTTTTTAAGGCCTTTAATACGAGAATACAGGTCATTGAAGGAGACTAATTAAACGGGTTTATAAATTCTTAGTAGTAGACATTTAATTAATCTCTATTTTTTTTTCAAAATTCATAACTCGCTAATGACCATGCATTTTTTTTTTATACAATTTTATTCAGCTGTATCGTACAGATTGTATGTGAGATCCGATATTCGTATTACCCTTTGCATATTTTTTATTACAGTTATTAGACTCAAATACTGTACGAAATTTCATTAGCTCTGAATTTTCCACACGTGCAGAGGACGCTCTTTATCCAGTCGTAGAATTTTTCTGCATAATTCCGGGTTTTCGTGACTTTTGAGTTTTAATGAAAATTTTGGAAATTACGTCAGGTAGGCTTTTTATCTGCCACTTGAACTTTCTAAGGACTTCGTTAACATAGATTTTACCGGGCTGTGCATCGTGCAGTGTAAAATTAGAAAAAAATATAAAGGAATGTTACCTATATATAAAAATTGCTAAAAAAGTAAAAAAACTTGAATATCAAAAGAGCGAGGTAATATTATTTTTGAAAATGACCGTTCCCTTGAATATTTAATAAATTTTGCACAAGCAAAATGTAATCTGATACCTAATTAACTTTTAGCTTAAAAATTTTGAAAAATCGCGCAGATCATATACGAAGCACATTCGAGTTTTGGTCCAGAGTGCATTCGTGGCTTTCTACGTAGGTGGCATGTAAATTCTGCATACAGATATTTTCAAAGTAACGTATCTATGAATACGCCAACTGAAAAGCAGTCACCGCGTATATCAATTGAGACGTCAGGGAAAAAGATTTTCTATGAATCGCCCATTCAATATTTGAAATGCATTATAAGCCCGTAACTTTTGAAAGCTTTTTGATAACGGGAATTCACAAAATTTTATCTCTCAAATATTTACCACGAGTTTAGACAGACGGGAGCGCGAATTTTACTTTAAATTATACGAAGATGCGGGTAATCAAAAGTTGGACGCCGCGGCGTCGCGACGCTCTTGCTAAAGGTTTCAGGTCGTTCGAGCACTTTTATTAAACAAAAGGAAGGTATTGGGTAACAACGGTAACAATATTGATCTTGCGCAATCGCTATATCCAAGTAAAATCGAGTCTGACTCGGTAGCAGTGTCTGACAAGCTACGTACCATATCCACTATATACATATAACAATAATACAAGCACTATTCAGCAGACAAGATGGAAGCAGAGAGAATCGTTTTGTAATTGATAGGAGTGTTTGTTCGCTTTTGTAAATACCATCCCATTGGTACAGGGTGTACCAGCTGCCGAGTTCAGTATCTCCGGAAGACGTTGGTTGGATTAGGTTAGGTAAACTTGCACAACGCATAAGAGCAGTAAGGAATGAGAATGAAGAAGAGGCTTTCGAGTTTAGCCCGATCGCTCGACTGACGACTGAAGTAGAATAAATCAGTATCTATAGGTAGAAAGCGTATATAGTAATAACTATACAGACAGTAGATAGAATCGTATTTCCATGTAACACGAATCGTACGAATCCCCTGCTAGGATAGTAGATACAGCCAACTCATATCCAGCCAATCCATTCGCCCACCACCCTGGGATATGCAAGTAACTGGATGGATTATGCGGCTAATTTCTAAAGTGCTCGCGCCTGGTACCCCTAATTTATACCGCACTACCCTTAATGCCTTCCCTGAAAATCGATGGGATATTGGATATATAGGGTGTAACGCAGAGGGTCTATGTAGATATTTCATACGGAATTCTCTGTCGGGATAAACATTTTTGATGGAGACGAATGTAAGCGTGTTAATGCATAATGAACAATGCCGAATGGTATGAAAGGTACGTATGCGTGTGTATATATATATATATATATATTTGCATATGTGAAAATGAGGAATTGTCTATTGTGCAAATCCCGAGATTCCGTGGGGAGATCCAGGATAGGACATGGTTGAGCATAAGTAAATAGGAGTTGTCTAAAGGGGTTTCAGAATACAGTAGTACAGTCATAGCGTGTAGCGCGACATTATATATGTATATATACGTATATTATGGCGAATGGGGTAAACGGGGTAAACGGGGTGAACTCGCTGGTAGACAGCGTAGGATTGCGTCTGGCTGGCACAATGTAAATCTTGGATGGGGGGTGGCTACCGGCTGGCCGGCTGGCTGGCTGGCTGGAAGTCTGGTTGACTGGTTGGGTGATAAGGGATGAGGGGGATCAGGAGGGGGAGTGGCGAGGGTGGTTTCCGAGCCGGAGGATGCTGGATACGTTGGTCCGTAGTGACTGAACGTGTATGGGGGATGAAGGCTGGAGAGACGGTGTCGTAGATGGTAGCCGGAACCACGTTTCCAAGCAGGTAACGAAGGGTTGCAATATTTGCTATGGTAATGAGTAATTAAAATGCAAATTACGTGTCGCGGGTAAATATATTTGTACAAGTCTGGTTAAATACCGTCGTGATCACTGATTATATTGCTAACAAGAACGGATAATGTATCATTTGTCTGTTTTGAGTTTTGAGCCTAAAATTTGTTGAGGGTTGGATTGAAAGAAAATATTTTTTTTTTTATTACAGTCGTTTCAAGGGATATTGACGCCATTAATGAGTCAGGTGCTGGTAGTAGAATTAGGGGTAAGAAAAAAATTGTCACGGTGAGGCATCGAACGGTTCACCGATTCATCCCTTTCTTCTTTCGATTTTTCCTTGAATTGTGGATTCTGGCATAAATTCTATAAACCACCCCCTACCGCCCCTCCCGGCTTCAATGGGTTCCTTCACTACCTACGTTCATCCCTCTGGCACTTCAACCCTTTCTAGATATAAACTTTCTAACGATCTCAACAGGCTGTCGTGTCCTTGCACGAGGCGACGTACTTTACGGTGGCGTCCCGACGCTAACGCGAATCTCGGTATTACGTGGCGTCGGAATTACCGACGCTCTGATTCGCAGCGTCGGGCTAGAGTGGGGTGGGCTTGGTGGCGTCTGTCTTCTTGGGTTGGTCGTACGTACCTACATAACCTACAATGCATTAAGGAGAGGTTCCTGAAACGTGTCCGCCATTACCAACCCCCTACCGCCCCTCCCTTGTCCTACTGTTCGTATACTGGGGTGGTATTAAAGTCTGGCTTACATCCCTTATATTTTGTAGAATCACCTTGTTTTTTGAGCCTTGTGTTAATTTTAGGGTTTTTCTTAGGAAGAAAGAGATTGAATGCTCCGGAGAAGAGGTTGGTACCATTGAAATTGAAGTCGCAGTTAAAAAAAATAATTTTTTGTAAAATTTGCTCAAGAGGTATTTATCTTATTGGTTTTTACGAGTAATCTAAACCGCATCTGTGGGAG